TCGTACATGCTTCTTTGCCGAAATTTCGCTTTGCTAACAAACCAGGCTTATTGTGGCCCTTATCCTGAACACGAAGAGCAGAGGATGAATGACTACCAAATATCTGGTCCAACATAAGGGAAAGGAAGGTCGAGATAGAAAGAGTGTGTGATGAATAGTGTTTGACTAAGGGATGAGGATAATTGCATTGCTGGGAGTTACGGCCGTGTATAGAGGTAGCAGAGGAAATGCCGATCTTACAATTCGAATATTTTGTACACTCCACCTGAGAGGAAGACAAGGCATTGCGAAGCCATGCATCAGCTCTGTTCTTTGAAGGTGGGCTTTCAACACTTGTGGAATCTGGCTGTTCACCATTTCCCCCTTTCCTCTTCAGATAAATGTCGCTTTTCAGCTTACCTCGATTTCCATTTTAGCAAAGCTACTCGCATAGCTATTACCTGATATTCTTGCAGCTTCATGTCAAGGGTCTTCAGCATTATGTAATGTCAACTACCTCCTTGTTATCTCTCAGAGACAACTGCCATGTATTATGTTTCTTTCGGGTGGTTTTTGTGGTCATCATACTCCAGGCTCAGATGCACACCTTTGCAGAATATTAAGCAACACAGCTTCCTTGTCATTCAAAGGTAGTTAGGAATCTCCTAGAGTCGATCAATTTCCATACCTTCCTTCTTCAGAACTACTTACAGAGGCTTCGGGACGACGGAATAGCTTTCTTGAAATCATTGACAAGATCAGCTTACACTTCAAGAACGAGAATGAGCGATAGGCGAGCAACTAAAGAACGGAGGGCGCCCAGGCTCAGTGCCCTCAGTGTCGGTGACGGAATTGCAACTGTCGTGATAGTTAACTCCTTCCCCTTTGGGCTTTTGAAGCCGCAACCGCCGAACTTGAGAATTTATGCAAAACAAGCTTTCTACTCGCGCAATACGATGTGGTATTTATATGCAAGTATCCAGGATTCGGAAGAGTTCATTTACATAAACGGTTCCCACAATGGTGGAGTCCCCAGCTCGTCTACATCTCGTACCTGATCGAAGCATGGGAAAAGCCTCAGCGATGCAACAGAAGATACGGTAAATTCGCGGGGTGCACGCAATCGATAGACCAATGACACAGACACTTCTCAAGCGTGCTCTTCTTAATATGCCAGCAGCCTTTTGGGAAAGTCAAGCCTGGAGTCGTGCTTGCTGGAGCTGACTCGCAGCATTTGGTATTTAAAGCTCATTGGACAAAGTGTTCTATGAAAACAAGTATTGTAACAGAAACACGCTGGCAAATCAGACCGTTCAAATGTACATTTAAAGACCTCTTCGGTCGCTTAGTCCTTCTTAGCGACATTTCCCGCCGCCAAATTGAAACCAGACTATGGGACGAAAGGTCAACCAAATCCCGCCATCACTCTCGCGTTTGTCGATCGGACAAACGTAACAAACCGCCCCTCTTGCTCCATCTCTTCAACTTTCCCAGCAAGGTCCACATCCTGGTCGCCATCCCTCCTTCTCATCTGCAGCAAAAGCTTCTTGCGCCACAGCGAACGCTTCTGCTCGGGGCGCGCCTTGGCAGCCGCACTTCAGCCCTGCAATTGGATGTCTAGAGCGAAAAGCCACACACCGTCCAGCCAAGTATGCAACCTATTTATCCACCGCTCCCCCTCCGCATCCACAGAAGCTTGTGTCCGGCTATATTCAATCGACATGGCGACCCTTAAATCCATGTTCAAGATGTGTGTTGTACAGTACCTACAAAAAGACGACATCTAATCGCGACATCCTGCCATCATATCGTCTGGCCGCATGATTCGCTGGTCATTGCGCCCCGGCCCTCCCGAATCATGGATAAACCAGATAAGATGTATCTCCGTTCATCAAGGTTGGTCCTTCATGCGAGTGTGAGCTTGATAGGCGCTGTACGATCGATTCTAGCGCCCTTCTATCACAACGGCATTCGACCTTTAACTGGCTATCTCACCCCCAGGGACCGAGTAGCTTCAGGGACTGCAACTGACCACCTTCCTATCAGAGACAAAATCCGGATCTACAGAACAATTATTTAAGCTTTCCTAACCTAACAAGCCTTAAGCTGCCCCTCGATGTAGCTTCCGCTCTCCTTATAGGTTTCGGTTGAGTGCCGGCAGCGGGGTCTCATTTCGACCGCCTGTAACTGTGTTTCGAGTTAAAAATCACCAGGTTCGCTTCAACCAGATTCACAGTAGATCAACTAGTCGTTGTGCCTGCCTTTCTCTATCATTCGTGTGATAATCAGTCCTTAAAAGGGAAGCTCATCTTGCACAGAGTTGCCTCCTTCTTGGTATGCCCTAGTTCTTCAGGAGAACACCAGCTTCGGATGCTCCCTGCCAATGAGAATGGCGACATCTCCGAGCAATCTGAGAAATAAGCTTCTTGATCGACATATCAGAATTGAAGCTATCCGTAGCCTTATGCTTGATTGTTGGCAATAACGGTACTCCCAGCCGAGGCTGGTGGTCTGTCTCTTTGTGGTTGCTTCTCGAAGATATATAAGTAGCACAAGATCTCTTATTGTTTCCCCTCATCATCCCGATCATTCACTCCCATCCTTCGCTCGCTCTTCCCTCGATCTCTCTCCCCGTGTGGATCATTCACTTGAATCCTCCCAAGCTCACTTTTCCTCCGGACTTCTCTCATCATCTCGACTCTCTCGGTCTAAACCTCTCTCACGAGCTCTAATCTCTGACCTCTCCGCCTGCTTCCACTTCGAAAATGCTTTCCACGCTCTCCGTCATTGCTCTTGCCTCCACGGCATTTGCTCTCCCAGCCCCTGCGCCTGGTATGTCCATTTCGTCTCTGTCGCTATGAGGTGACCTAGATGACAATTACTAACTGTCCAACAGCAGCTGAAGTCGTTGGCAGCAAAGCATTCTCCGCTGCCGCCGTTCACAATGACAACTTCCACCGTAACGGCACTGCTGCTCTCTTGAAAGCCTATGCCAAGTACAACCTCACTCCGCTCGAGGGCCAATTCTCTGATGCCTTCCTTGCCGAATTGAGTGCTGCCAAGATCACCAAGCGACAGGATAGTTCTGCTCCAGCTTTTCCTTCGGAGGGCGTTGAGTATCTCGTCAGCACCAGCATCGGTGGTCAAAAGCTAAACTTGGACTTTGACACTGGAAGTGCCGATTTGTAAGTTCACCTTCACTTTTTCCACACTTCCACAGTACATTGTCAACCACATTATCACTATCGAATTTTCTACTGCCTTCACTTGACATTTCACGACATGGGGATTTCACGGCCACACAAGTGAATGATATCAACTACTTCATGCCACCGTTCACTTTCTTACCAACAATAAATATGCTTTCATCTTTCAAAATATTCGTATGCTAATTGTATTCCAGGTGGGTATTCTCATCGTCATTGGCCACCGCTTCCAAGAAGGGCCATGATGTCTATACTGCTTCTTCTAGCTCCACCTACAAGGCTTTGGTATGTTTATTTTGCTCTTCTATTTTGCACTTCCCCTAGCATGGAGCTACCCTACGTGAGGCAATGTCTGTCGGTGTGGACCATTCACACAAATTATTGAGATTAAGAGCTGCCGCAGTTGAGACAGTCTTTCTCGTTGTGGAGCACTTAGGTACAAATACTAACTTTCACAGTCCGGCTACACGTGGTCAATCCAATACGCGGACGGTTCAGGAGCATCTGGCACTGTCGGCACCGACACTGTCACAATTGGCGGAACCTCTGTCAAGGGCCAAGCAGTCGAACTGGCCACCAAAGTCTCCTCCACCTTCGCCTCCGGCCAAGCTGATGGTCTCGTCGGTCTCGCCTTCAGCAACATCAACACCGTGAAGCCCGTTCAACAGAAGACTTTCTTCGACAACGCCCAGCCCACTCTCAACTCACCTCTGTTCGCAGCCTACCTCCCGTTCAACGCCAACGGCGCATACGACTTCGGCGCCCTTGACTCCTCCCACTACAAGGGATCTATCGCATACGCCAACGTCGACTCTTCCGGAGGCTTCTGGGAGTTCGCCAGCACAAGCTACAAAGTCGGCAGCACAACCCACACTCTCTCCGGCAACACAGGTATTGCCGACACCGGAACCACCCTCGTGCTCATGGTTGATTCCGCTGTGAACACTTATTACGCTTCCGTTTCCGGTGCCCAAAACTCCAACACTTACGGTGGATGGGTCTTCCCTTGCTCGGCTACTCTTCCTTCTTTGTCCGTTCGCATTGGATCTACTTCGTATGCTACCATCCCTGGCAGCTTGTTGAACTTCCAGAGCATTGATAGCAGCACTTGCTACGGTGGTCTTCAGAGTGTCGGTGGTGGGAGCCAAAACATCTATGGTGATGTCTTTTTCAATGCTTACTACGGCATTTTCGATGCCAGCGTGCCACGCTTCGGTTTCGCTACCATTGCGTAAATGCGTTACAGCAGCATACCTTTTTTAAGGGTTGGATTAGAGAGGCGAAGAAAATCATATTGAGGGAACGACATTTTAGAGGGACTTCTTGGATCACATTTTTGGCTTAGTTTGGATGCAAACGCTCGAGGCAGAGCTTCTCTGTCCGCGCGGGAGATTTTTGGTTAGATGAGGGATGAAAGCGTAGGTGCTGCATACACGGGAGTTTGCATGGCGGCTTATTTCACCGCAGCATATAAATGAAATACAAAACTTGAAATGTTAAAAAAATCGTCATCTTTGATTTTGAAATGCGTCGCCATAGAAAACTGCTACTCGTCTCATCTACGTAGCCATGGTGCCGATGCCTTTAAAGTATTTGCAGCGAAGGATGTTGTGTAGAGATGCGTCTATCACGTATGCTGAACCCAATCCGACTTCATTAGCGAAAAATATGCAAACGCACAAAATTGCAACAAAGAACCAAAAGCGTCCACCTTTCAAATATCCTCCTACCTAGGTAATTACCAGCTCTGCCTCTACCTAGGTAGTATTCAAGAATCTAGGGAAAAGAGAAGGGAAAAAAAATAGATATTTCAGAGGGCCTAATCCGGGATCGAACCGGAGACCTCTTACAATTGAGATGAGAGAGAACTTGTATGAAGCTCTTTAACCCAAAGCAAGAATTCTACCACTGAACTATCAGGCCATTTTTATTGTCAGAATATTGCTTAAAGAAAATTATGTAGTAACTTGGGTGAGGGACGAGTGAACAAAGGGTTTTGCGGGGGTGGTTTTGTGGGGCGGGGCTTCGCTTAAAGGGTTTCTGAGTCACGGCGAATGTACGAAGTAGGTGAGACGCTAGCGTGGCTAGCGGGAACTAAAATGTGGCTGTACTATTTCAAATTTACCCGCTAGTCATATATTCTAGTCTCAATTGGAATGTTAGTCAAAAAATATACTGATATATGAAATTCGTCTCAGAAAATTCATATCTGTGGCCCCTTTCTGGATACTTCGCTTACTGCACCACAAGGTATTTACAGTTTGTAAATACTCATATTTTTCTTCGCAAACTCTTCACAAAAGCTTTGAAGTACACAGTAATTGCTCAGATAACTCGAAAGATGACGCAGGCCGTGGCCCAAACTTTTCTTCCAAATGAAGGCAGAAGATAATCTTCCAGAATCAAATTGACACCTGGTCAACATGTCCATAGATCTCAATCTTGCTTGGTCAGTACACCAAATCTTGCCTTCAATATTTGATTTTCATGGAAAGCCTGGATTTTTTAGTGTGTATTCTCTCTCACAACCCATACCGTGGTCTTACAATGAGACCAAACAGCTTGTAAATACTCGACACGTTAACGGTTTTGCCGTCATGTCTAGTCTGCCCCAGATCGAAATTCAATATGATCGAGAAGCAGGAATAAGAAATTTAATCGTATTTAAAGTGTAACCTTGGGTAAATGAATAGAAGGCGAGATATCGATTCTCTCGTCTTACTCTTCCTTCAAAAAAAATTAGGCCAACCGCTGTTCAGCAGACGAAAATGTAATAACGAAATCAAAGTCTCACTTCCCAAAGCCCTCCAAAGAAGCTTCACGGCCTCAGTCTCGTAATCCCCTATTTCTAAACCTTAACCGTCTTCTTAATCCCGCACTTAACCAAACAACTCTCCACCCCCTGCGCCAAACTACTCGGCACCAAATGCCTATACAAATCAATATCCGCGCCCTCCAAGAACTCCAGTCCCGTAGCTAACCCCACCAGATCATCATCAAGCATGAATAAACTCTCAGCTGGAGTGTTGATGCCCGGATCTTCGCTGTTGAAAGCGGCGACGAAGGTCATGGGCTCGCAGTTGGGATTAAATTCTAGGTGGAGGGAGCCGGCGGGGAAGAGAACCATGGAATAGGTTGAGTGGACGTTGCGGACTTTGCGGGCGCCGGTTTCGGAGACGAATTCAGAGATCATTGAGCCCTAGGTTTATAATTAGGAAGAGGACGGGATGAATGGGTGATGTGGTCCATGGGAGGTACTTACATTGACGACGATGGACAATTCTGTTGCCCGAGGATGTGTGTGCGGTGTGTTGAACCTATTTCTTTGTTATCTTCAAGTACCAGGAAAAGACCATCATTTGGGGAGACTCACCCACAAGGCTTAGTGAAGCCAACAGCCATCGCCATATTATTACCCACCAAGGCTGGGAAAGTAATACTGAAAGCGTTTACCAGTTTCCCTCCTCGACCTTCGAGCGTAGCAAAACCTTGTGCAGGTGGGTTCAAAAAATCGAACTTGAATTGCTCATCTCTCAGCAATGCAGTGCGAGTCACTGCGTTTGGTGATGTTTTGAGCGCCGCAATGAGGGCATAGTCTGTGTTCGGAAAAGTGGTGTTGAATGGGACTTCTCCGGGAATGGGGAACTCGGGATCAGGGCCTCGTGTGGAGGACGATTTTGCGGATGTGGAGGTGAGGGTGACACTGCTTTCCGGAGTAGGAGAGGTTGAGCAAAGGCCTGCTAGTGTCACCACTGCTGAGAAGAAGATTTTGAATTGCATCTTGAGGGTGGCGAAGCTGGGGAAAATGCTCAACGTTTTGTTCTAAGTAGAAGAAAGGTGCGCGTTGAAGAATTATTCATATCATCATGGAACGAAAATGGCTGCTTTTATAGCTGCATTCCCATCATAGTACTCTAGGAATCTACTCCAAAGCTCTTTAGCCTGTTCATACTTCTTTTTGAGCAACACAGATACTACCAATAACGTTTCTGTAAGGAAATGATGACAAGTATCGGTGGAATGACTTTCCGAGAAAATTCTCAAACGTCTTGAGAACTGGGTATATTCTCATTCTGCAATATCGAGGTCGGAAACTCGGAGAATAGGTTACGCCATGTCTGCAATGAAACTACGTCCCCAGTCTTGGCTTCACAGTGCCGGCGTTAGCTTCCCCGTATTGCTAAGCCATGAGCGACTACTGCAATGCGAGAGACTCAGAGTGCTACTCGTCACCTGACGGTATCCTTGGGAAAACTCGTAATCGTCAGTATTTGTGTCTCGAAGTCACCGACAACATATATATTTAGCATGGTACCCTAGAAATCCCTCAAATATCCTTCTGCATTGCTCAGGAGGGATTCTTTCTATCTCTCGGATGAAATGCTCCGTGCTAGGTAAAATCTGACTTGCATAGCAATACGATGAGGGGATGACTTGAAAATCAAGCGGCGTGTCAAACATTAGATCCCTCCAAGTAGACTCGCATGAGACAAACCAGAAGGATTTCATAAGGTGATGATCGACATAATGGATATTTTAAAGGGGGCTTAACGAGAACAAGAGCTTCATGGATGCCTAGATGCAATAAAAGCCCAAAAACTGTGGAGCAGAAAGGTGTATAAAGCTTGACATTACTTGAAAAAGAGAAAGCTCTACCAAATAATCGGAGCAGAACAATAACCCCAGCTAATGGGATGGATGTATAATTATTTAAGGGGAAGAAATAAAACTGACAGTTCCCTGAATGTGTCTAGCTAGCAAACCACCCCACCTGGAGCTGTAGAATTTGGGTGCTGACAGCATAGCGCTTATCAAAATGAGTAATGGGTATGGGATCTACTTGATCCTTAAACCTCTAGAACCGCAACAGCGGAAAATAAAAAGAACTCGCAGGAATCGTGGTCGCACTGGCGTACCTTCGTATGGTCCCACAGCAGAATAGAGGCTCATTGGCTTAAACATGTAAGTATTGGTCTGTGAAGATTGTAGCATGTGGTGATGGAGAAGCACTTGGGTGACTGCAACTCGTTACGGCAGATAGATACCAAAGTAGAGAAAGTATTGTGCTAAGTTGTGTAGGATGGTGGGGTAAGTGAAATGTAATGAAATATTTTGGAGGTGGGAAGCTCTGGAGCTCTCGAGCTACCCCTGTCTAGACAGCGGAAACCGTCGGCTGCGAGGGCGGGATCCCCACGGCTTGCGTCAACGAGTCAGCCGGGAGTGAAGTAAACAACTTGGTGAACTCTTCCCTCTGGAGTTCCCAATATCGCAACTCATCCCACAGATGATCCACAAGATGTCGCCCGCTCGAAACATTGCGATCGCGGTTCTGCTGTCTCTGGCAGCAGCAGAGCAGCCATCAGCGCAAGAGCCGGTCGCTGCTCCGATGAGATCGCTGCCCTGGGGTGATCTTAACTTCCTACAAACGACAGATACACATGGCTGGCAGGCTGGGCATTTGCAAGAGTAAGTACTTCCGTAGCCACATTGCAAAAACCATCTGACTAAAAACAGGGCGCAGTACTCTGCGGACTGGGGGATTATGTATCTTTCGCTGAACGAATGCGGGAGAAGGCAGATGGACTTGGGGTAGATGTTCTGTTGGTTGATACCGGCGATCGAGTCGAGGGAAACGGTCTATACGATGGATCCGATCCGAAAGGGAAATACTTCTACGACATTGTAAAGGAACAAAACATCGACATTATCTGTACTGGTAATCATGAGCTTTACCAAGCTGAAACCGCGACACAAGAATACGAACAGACAGTGCCAAACTTCAAGGGCAAATATCTTGCTTCAAATTTGGACTATATCAACCCGAAGACGGGCGAGACGATCCCTATGGCTCAACGATATCGAAAGTTTACAACGAAGAACCGGGGAATACGAGTGCTGGCATTTGGGTTTCTATTCGACTTTACCGGAAATGCCAATAATACTGTGGTTCAACCTGTAGAGAAGACGATCAAAGAATCTTGGTTCCAAGAGGCTATCAGAGAGGATGTGGATATATTTGTTGTAATAGGCCATGTCACACTTCATGGCCCGGAATATAAAGCGATTTACAAGGCGATCAGAAGTCAGAAATGGGATACGCCTATTCAATTCTTTGGTGGACACAGCCACATCCGAGACTTCGCAAAGTATGATAGTAACGCTTATGCACTTCAGAGCGGTCGCTACATGGAGACTGTTGGGTGGATGGCCATTGAAGGGCTTCCCAACAAGGGCAAGAAGGGAGGATCTACAGCAGTTGGGCCTCGAGCAAGCATGTCGTTTCAACGAAGATACATCGATAACAATCTTTTCGGATACCATTATCACACAGGGTTGAATGACACCACATTTCCTACCGATCACGGCAAAAATGTCTCAAAGATGATTCATAAAGCGAGAAAAACATTAGATCTGGATTACAGTTTCGGTTGTGCTCCCAAAGACCTATGGCTTAGCAGGGCTCCTTACCCTAGCCATGATAGTATCTTCACCTGGCTTGAGACGGAAGTTATGCCAGATGTTGTCGTCAACAAAACCCGAAAGGATATCCCAAGGCTTGCATTAACGAACACTGGAGCCATGAGATTCGATATTTTCAAGGGTTCTTTTACGACAGACACAACATATATTATTTCGCCATTCGTTAGCAAGTTCTTCTATATCAAAGACGTACCTTACAAATCTGCCAAAGGAGTACTCCAATTAATCAACAATGGAGGACCTGTTTTTGATGCTGCAGTATACCCGCTATCTCAACTTCCGCCACCAGAGCAAATGTCTATTCATACCGACATAATTGCTCCGCAAATTCCTGTCCACGATATACCTGCACCAATTGGTGTACAAGCTCCTCTCTTTTCATCGTCCAAAAGTAAGCCAGATCTTGTTCCTGGCTACACCACTAAGGATGAAGGTGGCGATGA